AGGATTTATAATTTATATGCATAAAATAAATACAGCATTTAGCAAGGATGTAAGGTATAGGACACTCCTCTCAGAATTTTCAGACAGTACATTTGAGAATATCTATAGAAACATGTACATATATTGACCCAGAATTTCATCACCTTAATTTATTATCTTGAAATAAGCTTTAAGAAGATAATTAAATATGCATACAACTAGCTAAAAAATAAGAAAAGCTAGCATTTATTGACTAACATGGAGGGCCTGGACTGAGCAAGTCACATGAGTCTTTTCATTTAATCCTCATATTACTAGAGGCAGGGGGTATCACTGTAGATCATGAAAAAGAAAACTAGCGGTTTTAAATAATTTGTGTAAGGTCAAATGCATAAGCAGGGAAAGTATAATTTGTCTGACTCCAAAGTACATGCTGTTAACCTCTCCAGTTCTGCTGCTATGGGACTGTTCACCTGAGTGCTTTCTAGGATGATAGGTTAAGCAAGTGCACAGTACTTTCTTACACAATACATGACCAGAATACCCCAGGAGAAGTTCAGTAACATCAGAAAATAGAGTCTGCACTGTTACATGAAAAAAGTCTATTAAAAGGCAACATCTGCAGAAGTGTGAGGGATCAGAAGAAAAAAAGCAACTGTAATAAAGTAAAAATGAAAATCAACAAACAACTATAAACCAGAGACATTCTATAGGGGTAGAGAGAGCAAAGGATCAAAAGGATCAAAACTGGGGCAGGAAGAGTGCCCAGGACTATGGTGATGGCACATGGGTGAAGTGGTGGTGGGAAGTCCATGGGGATTACAACTGAGCTGAAAAAATGTACAAAATGAAGAATGATGTAAAAAATATATACAAATATATGTATTTATATATATACATATATATATATAAAAGCAACATCTGTACACAGTGTGATTCTAATTTTGAAAATAGTTATCGTTATGTTATAGAATATTATATTTAAAAGGTCCTATTAATATGAAAAACTCAATAAAGATTATCTCAAATCTGTCAGACTTTTACTTTCTTCTTTCCACTTTTTGTATTTTTCTGAATTTGTTGCAATAACTGCTCATAATCAGAAAAAATAGTTATTTAAAATAGATCTATACAGGAAGAAAGACAGGCATCCTATACAAGCAGATAGTTGATTTGTATACCAAAACAAAGGTCGAGCTAAAGTTTGGAAATATTTATCTTTGCTTAACAGTCAAGGGGAGGGAAAAAACAAACCATACAGACATTTCTAGGAATATACATGTCTCCCAGAGTCCTTTTACTCTTCAGAGACTAACGAAAGGAAAGGATCAAGGACAGCTTTTGTTCTGACACTAGACCAAACTGCATTTTCCCTGAGAAATCCTGGTGAGTTTTCGTAAGAAATTCGAATCAGTTAAAAGAAAATCTTTTCAAAGCAGTAGTTACTTGGGTTTTTTTTCTCCCAATCTTAGTCTCCCAAAGTATTAAAGGCACACAAATAAAGTGATCAAAGGAAGTCTTCAGTTTTACTTCATCCTAACCTATATTTTGAATATCAAAAATGCACTATTCTACTTTGAGAGTCCCTGAGAAACCAATTCTTACATAAAGCCTGACATAGGCCAGGGTATGCCATGAATACATAACAAAGGAAGAGTAAAGGGCTGGTTCACATTCAGCCCAGCCATCTCACAGAGAAGTCTGAAGTACAGGCATCCTGTTTATGGTTAAACTTGTCTAATCAAGTTTAGAACAAATACTAAGTGCTGATGAAGATGAGAGCATGTTAGCCAAAGGGAAGAGAGATAGTTTCTCCTTCATGTCTGGATTCTTCTCAGTTAATGATGGATGATCCCTAAATTCTAAGAACCAAACTGTTTAACTAAAGATGAGAATTACAGACACCATTCTCAACTTTCAACTAACTATGGTTCCTGGGTCCTCTCTCAGCTCTGACTAAACCTCAGTCTGGATCCCAATCTATACATAAAGTCCCTTCTCACTGCGTTTTTACTTTCCAACTGCTATTTGTTAGTATTTCCTGACATTTCTTACAAGTTCATGATTATTTTCTCTATCCATCGTAACACTAAGAAAAGAACAGAAAAGGATTCGTATCTTGATCAAGAGCCACAAGAGAAGTGATATAAACAAGATCCTTTCATATCACGCTGCTTAGCACTAATCAGTTAAAGTGGTTGTTTTTTAGATTAGCAACCCAGTCATGTTTCTTTTCATTAGTGTCACCTTACATAATAACCTGTTGTGTTTGAAATCTCCCTGCCCTCATATCCAGTTGGTTACAAAGTCCTGTTGATTCTCTTCTCTCCAATTATTTTAAGCCAGTCCTTTTATTCCTGACCTTGGAGCAGCTTCTTGGTCCATGCCTTGACAGGCTATGTTCTGCCTAATCTATTGCAACTGTCTTCTCTCTTCTGGTCTTTCATGATCAAATATATGCTCTATTTTGCTGCCAGCATTATCCTCCTAAAATCTGAACTGGATCTAGTTAGAGCTATTTTTTTATCCGTCCAGCAGCCATTATTTCAGGAAAGCACTCCTCCAACATTCTGTTAATCCTGCTTGGTTTATTGAGTTCAACAGACCAAGACCCTACCCTACCTGTCTTTCCACAATTGTTCCCACATCACCAGACATTCAGATCCACCAGTTCTAGGTCATGTGATTACCCTGATCTTCTGAAACTGTCTGCTAAAGCTATCAGAAAGACATTCTCCTCTCAGTAAGTCAAGCTCCAAGGGCAATTGATGCCAGACTATTTGGGACATTCCCACAGAAAACACAGCAATACCAAGATAAGCAGAGGCATGGTTAAGAAGCCAGAAGAAAGTAATGGGAAGCTCCAGCAAACTGGATCTAGTAGGCTCCACTATGTCTCTGCCACTTTAAACTTATAATGTGAGTAAGTTCAAATGCTGTAGTAATGCAAATAAGTACCTTTTATCTTTCCCTTAAACTATTCTTAATTGTCTTCTGAACCTTGTATGTAAGAATCCTAAGACATATAGTACCCGTACTTTAGAAACTTTTAATAGTGTTTTGCTTCCTATAGAAAACAAAACAAAACAAAAAATTCTTAGCACAATTCAAGTTTCTCAATGAAAGGAGTCATGTTAGCTTTTTCCCTTTAACTCTCCTGTTCTGGCCTCAAACCCTTTCAAATATTAAAATAACCATATTCTATGCTCTATGCTCTAGTTAACACAGACTGTGATTCTTATACTCCATGCCTTTGCTAAGAATATGTCCTGAATCTGAATTTTTCTTTTCCCATCTTTTCACTTCAATTGTCGAGAGCCAACTTATATTGGCCACCTGTATTGTATGCTACATTACAGATCTTACATATGTTTATTTTCCCCTATCAGGACACTTTGCAGACAAAAACTGGTTGCTTCTAAAGTTCCCTATCTAACAGCAGATAATCTGTTTTGAGAGCAGATATTCCACAAATGTTTGTAGCTCTGATTATAAATGAAAAACTTAGGGTCAACATCTGCCAGACTTAAATCTCCCTTATATAGGAATTTCTCAAAAATAACCATATGACCAAATCACCCAGCATTTGCATTTATTCCACTGAAATAAATTAATGTTTGCCAAAAACCTGTACATAAATATTTAATTTAATTCATAAATTCCTCGAACTAGAAACAACCCAGATGTCCTTCAACAGGCAAATGGTTAAACAAAGGATTGTACATCTCTATAATGGAGTACTACTCAGCAATGAAAAGGAACAAAAATTAATATACACAACTCGAACAAATCTCAAGTGAATTATGATGACTGTAAAAAATTGTATAATTCTAAACAATTTATCTAACACTTTTGATATGATAAACTTGTAGAAATGAAGAATAGATTAGTGGTTGTCAGGGAATGAGGTGGGAGAGGCAGATGGGTATTGTCATAAAAGGATATCCAGAAGTCCTTAAAACACTTTTGCAGTTTGGCTGTCACTGTATTAAAGTTTAGCAAGATATTGCTAATGAAGAAAAATGGGTCAAGTATACACAGGCTCTCTTGGTATTATTGCTTATTGCATGTGAGTCTATATTTATCATAGGTTTTTTTTTTTTGCATTTTGAGCAAATTTATTACATTAATATATTTTTGGAATAAACATTTTAAAAATCAAAATAAGTTTAGTTAAAAAGAAATCTCAAATAAGAACCAATAATAAATCTTCTGTGTAACAGCACCTAAAAATAATAGTTTCCAATCAGAGAAATCACTATGTCTAGTAATACAACAGAGTTCTGCACAGAAAACTGAACGGGGACCCCAAGTGCTAGTCCATCTTTACAAGTGCTTACATGGGGATAAATAACAGTCACTGCTCTGGGAAATCTGATCTGTTTGCCATTTAGATCCATGTGACTCACTGAGGCTGGCTGTAATCATACCTAAAAATATAGAAAACCTGCAGCCTAAGTGATTTTGGCTCATGATTTCTTGATTCAGATACAGCACACTTGAAGACAGGGATTTTATATTAATATCAATCAGCTACGAAAGAGGTTCTGCAGCTCTGACAACAGAGAATATTCTCTAGAAGCAAAGAGGATCAGAATGATCTGCTTATATACATTATATCTGGGAGTCACATGACACCTTCTCAGTCACAAGAAATGAGATCTAAGGGACTCTGTGGGCTACAAGGATGTCCTTTTTTAGGCATTGGGTGTGCCCACTAAATACCTGTCTCCTAAGAAGGCAGAGGGAGTCATGAGCTATTAAAGATAGGGTAGGGCGTGACAGTCACATGAATACATAGACTGGCATCGGCTGAGACCACAAACTGCAAAGTGTGGTGCCTTAAACCTGCCATTTTTTTATTTTGCATGGTACCACTTAGTACCTCTTCCAATAAATACTGACAACAGGACAACTAGTAAATGGGATAGTGGATCTTTGGGAGTTACCTCATACATACTCTGGTGACGTTTCACAGTAGTCCCCCAGTACCTGCCTGGCAGACACACCGGAACACTCACCCATCAGGACACTCAGCAGCTTCTGCACTCTGGAATTGACCCCCACAATTCGGTAGAGCCCTTGTTCATTGATCCCTGAGAAGAGAAACAGTGATGATTTAATTAGAGGCACGTCAGAACACAAGTCAAGTCAACCCAGCCAAGTGCACTTTTTTCGTTTTCTCAGTTCTTCTAAAAGCCGCTCTAATTAAAGTCCCCTGTCACTCAGTTCTGCTCTTAGCAAAGGAGTGGGATTTGGTACAGCTGTCTAGGATTTCACGGGTGTGCCACACACTTCAGCCCTCATGTTAGCTCAGTCATCAGAGAAACCTTCCTCTCTTCTTGCCAAAGGCAGCATCTGTAGAGTTTTGAAAGATGCAAAATATATATTTTTCAGATGTCTTATTTAACCAGTTTTTAAAACTTAAAACACCAAAATTGACATGAAAAAAAATGCCATACTACAAAAAAAAGAAGAATTTATAATTTACAATCTATTTTGACACATGAAATGAAAATAGTAAGCTATAAGGATGTTTTTAATTTTGGAGAATGTTAGCCACGAGTGAGAAATTAGAAAATCCTCTCACTTATACTGCAAATATTCTTTATAAATGAAAGGGTCTCCTGAATTCAAAACAAGGAAACTGGACTAGCAGGGGTCTACTCCCAAACATCTAAACAAATAACCAAACACTGACCCACCTCAGTACCCTGCTCATTTACAAGTAAGGATGAAATCAACCACTAATGTACAAAAGACAGACCAAGAACATGGAGTGACTTTGTTCTTGTTGATTCTAAACATCACATCTGACACCTCTTAACTGAACAGTCTCTATTTCCTTAGTCTCCAACCAATAGCTAAAGTGAACTTTTCAAATATCAGTCAGTTCAAATCAACTCTTTTCTTAATATCTTTTCTATTGGATTTTGACCACAATCAAACTGATTGTGATCACCGTCACTCTGCACCAGACACATCAGCCTTTCTGTTACTCCAACAGCTCTTGCTCAAAGCTTTGGCACAGCCATTTCTTCTACCTGGAAAGATGCTTGTCTCCAGAACATTAAATTCTCACCTGTAATTCATCATCTTCAATCTTACCCCCCCACCACCACCAGATGGTCCCTCACCCTGTTTTCTTTTTCTTTGGAGCCATTACCAATGTCTAAAACTATCTTCCCTGTTTGGTTTCTTGTTTGTTTTTCTCCCCATAACTACACTATTAAGTCCACTATACCACTGCATTCCTACAGTCCCAGTGCACTCTATTAAAGATTGAAAGATGCAAAATACTATTTTTCAGATGTCTTATTTAACCAGTATTTAAAACTTAAAACACCAAAGTTGACATGATAAAAATGCCATACTATATAAAAGAGAATAATTTACAATCTATTTTGACACATGAAACAGATACACTGATTGTATTTCCAGCATCAGTACATATGAAGCATGCGAGAAATGAATAAAACATTGTGTTATCCACTCTGTCTGGATCATTACTTTGGAAGAAATTGGGGGAAAGGCTTATTCTGAAATTCACAAAAGTAAAAAGAATTGTCTTGGAATGATAGGGTTTTATAGATAAAAAAAAAGATCTGTCCAAGCGTGGACATTGTCCTGTATGGTTCATACACTGGAGGTTCCTGTGCATAATCTAAGGGCTGGGGCCCAAATTACTCAGTATCAAAAGCATTATTTATTAAAGTGGCAGCAGGAAGGGCTAGTCTTTCCTGAAGTGTCTCTACTTTTCTCTTGTGCTTTCCTGAGATTTAACACAATTCTAGATTTTTAACAAACCCCAGAGTATGGGCAGGTTGCTCACCACAAACAGGTATACATACACGCAATGCAGTAGGGAAATACCCACTTCCTTCAAGTATTAATGCTAAAATGGTATTTCACTCACACTATTCTCATTTCCTCTTTGTGCTAAAAGAAAACTTTCTTAGAAGCTGAAATATAACATTGTTACCCTCCTTTTACAGGGTGGAGGGACTAGGAGACAGAGGCTAAGAGAATTGACCAATATGGTGTCCTTGTCTTCCTCTACTAGCATTTATTTTCTGGTTTTATATCAGAAGAAGTTTTCCTTTTAGCGACTGGTCTGCATTTATAACATAAAATCTGTAATATTTTAAATGATTAGATATCCCTCTTGCTTTCAACTACTGGAAACTGAGATATACAAGTGGCCCACTTAAGGCAAAAATATGATGTCACAGAGATGGGTTGACATGGGGGGTAGGGGTGGAGTTTTATTTCTGGCTCCATTTTTATGCTTACACCTTTGTGAGCCTGAATTTATTTTTCATTCTTTAAAATGAAAAGCAAATCAAAATACCTGTTAAAAATTACCTTAGTAATACATATTTTTAACAATTTAGAAAACGGCAGTTAAGACAAATAAATAAGGCAAAGGAAGACAGTGAAAGATCACAGACACTGACAGCCCTGCAGATGTGGCTCCCCATTCACTCCACCAGCCCCAGAAAGGGTTCCTTCGGGACAGGCTGTTTTATAATTTGCATGTTTCACTAAAATGGAAATCCTGGCAGTCAATAAATGTATTTCCACTGCACTTTTAGTGATTCCTAAGTTTTTACCACATGGCTGCATCACTGCTGATTGAACTAATTTTTGAGACATTTGGTCAGATTCTGCTTTTTCACCTAATAATACCATTGTGTAAACATTCTTAGGACTCAGCCGGGCCCATGTCCTTATTTTCTCCAGATGATTCCCAGAAATCTTACCCACTTTGCTTTATATTCTTTGGCTACATCTTACATATTTTTGCACACTGCCATAACTCCTTAATGAAGCAAGATAGTGGAAATTGGCCAACATTTTAAAAAGTTAGCATATATTAAAATAACTACCTCGGAAAGAATACTTTTTGACTGGATGCACAGAAATAGAGGCTCATGAGATTAGTTATGTTTTCCTCCTCCGCTACTCAAATGCTTTATAACCTTTATAAAGGTGTTTGTATTTCAGTTGATAAGAGCTATGGATCCTGCTTTAAAAGACAAAACCTCTTTCGACAAATAAAAAGAGCTGGTGGGTTGTGAGGCTGTAGAAAAAATAAGATTCTATTTATTAACTTGACAATAGTTCAAATCAAATCCAGTGGAAAGATAGTTATTAGCTACTCGAAGCAGAACAATAGATTAGTGCATTCAAAACTCCAAATTCCAGAAAAAGGCATTGCCTTTCTAACAATCTCTTCTAAGGAGATGAGACCGTGAGATACCCCAACTTTTCTGATCTCAAAATCCTGTTCAAATACCTGTGAAAAGTCAACACGCTTTAGGCAGAGCTTGCCCACAGTTATACTGCAGACCCCTTCTCCTTACGCAGATGTACTAGAGCCCAAGGGCAAGGTTCTTAATCTAGGGCATCTGACCTCCAAGACGCCCACTAGCGAGTTTAAGCTGTCTATGACAGGCAAATAAATACATCTTTATGTTTTACTATAACCTGTAACTAAAATTAAGTACTCTTATCCATTATGATGTAAGTAACAAATCAGTGATATTAGCAGTATCTACAACTTGATCAGCAATCAGATATTTTCATGACACTTTATAATCGCTTACAGACATCATGAAATATCTCTATTTCAGAACTATGCTAGCAGTCAGATCCACCCTTCTAACTCGTTAAAGTGTTAACAAAAGGAAAACATTTATTATTATATCACACTTATTATTTTCAAACATTTTAATGGACACTTTAGTAACTGGATTCCTTATAATCCTGTGTATTTGATATGTACGAATTTAAGACAATCTTTGAGGAGTCAAAAAGGCAGATGGCAGCATGCTGCTGAGAGCCACTGCTGCAAAAACACACTCACATGGCACTTGGGGAGTTAATGAGTCACTTAAAATCGGGAAACAGCAGGTAACAGGTCTGACGCCTCACCAGATGCATGACCTTCACTGAGAACAATGCCATCTGTTGAACTACTTTACCTCTGGTTTCCACAGCATGGATACATTTCCTGATTATGCTGAAGCCAATGCTGTCCAACTGTGCAGCTGAAAGAGGAAGAGAAGGGCAGTCAAGTTGCTGGTTGTGCAAATCAACCTCAAACAAGCTTGACCAAGTAGCATGCATCAGGCCCAACAGGAGGCCACACATAATTTGAATTTTCCCCACCAGTGGTACGGAAGTGACAAAAAATTATCTTGCATTTACTGAGAGCCTACCATATTCCAGATACAATTAGAAGTGCTGTGCATATATTATCATTTAATTTTCACAGTAAGAATGACTACTACTCAGGTATTTATATCAATTAATAGCTGAGAAAAACTACAACATAGAGTGACAAGCCATTTATCAAAGGGATAAAGGTTGTTTTCATTATTATCAGAAGCTGTATAACCAAAACCTTTCCTTGCTGGCCTCCTTCAAAAGCATAATAAATTGCTCAATAAATGTTAGGTAAGCATTTTATAAGATAATGTCATTAATCCATGCAAACCACTAGGCTGATACCATTATTATCATCATATTGCACATAAAAAAAGTGAGAACTGGCAACACTAAATATCTTGATCAAAGCTGAAGAGCTAATTAATATGTAGGAGACTCACCCCAGAGACAACCCAGAAAACTGCACTAAATATGACCTTGAGATAGGAAATTAAAATTTTGCTCAAGTGAATTGAGAAAAGGAAAAATACAGAAAGAAAAAGAGAAAAAGTAAAACAGCCAACAATTAATAAACTATGCAAAGAGGAAGCACCAAGGTTATATGATAAGCAAAAAGCAGAGAAAAGTGTTCTCCATTTGTTCCTAAACTGACAGTGTCACACAAAAAAATAAATGATCAGCAGTAGCAACTTCTCCCACAGCATAGAACCAGTTTTTAACCTAGAAACAAGACAGGAAACCTACCAAAACTCATGCCCACACTGGTTATCCAGTGATAAGATGTGTGTGCTAAGCTTTAAGAATGGGTTCATCTTTGATCTCCTGAGGACATCAGGATAAACTAAAGTTCAGAGTGCAGCAGGGAATGGCAGAAAGTAGGAAGGTGAAAATTCAAAAATAATTTGGCATCTTTGCAGAGCATGCAATGAAACTGTAAAATATGAGAAATGAGTAGAACTCAAATTTTTCTTGGACCTAATCCAAAGAGAAACTTACTCTAATTCTTAATGATATGGATCAACTTAGATCCAATGAAGATAAAAGTCTTTAAAACAAAGAATTCCCCAAATCATACTAACAGAGAACACTAATTTCCCAAAAGGAAAGAACTCTTGTTCTTAGATGAATACTATTGATAGTGATATCTATTATAAACCGAATCAGCCTTTAGAAGAGTAAGCACAGTAGCAGAAAAGGGTGAACATAATGTCTTCTCCCTGATGATGAACTGCTATGCAAACCACTGCTCTTATCTTCTCAATGCTGTAAGAAGTCTCCTGACTCAACCCCTTAAGTTTCTAGTAAAAACCAAAACTCTAAAATTATGTTATTTCAAGCTTTATGAACAGAAGTTTCAAGACAGAGAGGTATTATTTCTTTGAATGAACCTCAATTAACTCATGCAATAACCATTTTCAAAATTTAGTAACTAATGATGATACATAGGCCAAATATCTGTGGGAATCTAGGGGGAACTTTTTTTTTTTCATTTTATTTTTCTTTTTAATTTTATTTTATTTAAAATAATATAGTAGGCCCTCCCTGGTGGCACAACAGATTAGGACGCAGCCACTCACTACAAGCTGGCTATAGCCGTTTCAGTGCGAATTCGATTCCAGCTCTGGAGGTGATCCACATGGCAAATCAGACCTCTCCTGACCCACCCGCTGGTCCCCTCAGCAAAGTACTTCATGGATCTGTCTGTTCTGCTCCCCACTCTGTCTCTGGTGAAGTATCTCACCACCCCTGCTTTTCTGACTTGTACCCCAGGTCTGTATGAATAAATAAATAAATCTTTTAAAAATATGTGTGTGTGTGTGTGTGTGTGTTTATTTTTACATCATTTTGTGCCTTCTTCCATCTCAGTTGTAATCCCAGTGGGCTTCCCATCACCAAATCACCTGTGTGCCATCACCATAGTACAGTGTACTTTCTCCCTCCCCCCTCCCCAGCCCTGTAAAATGTCTCTGGTATATAGTTGTTCATTATTTTTTTTTTCCCCTAGAGGAACTTTTTAAGTAATTGCTGTATTGGTATATACTACACACACAATAAAGTTTAACCATTAAATATTACAGTTCAGCAATTTCTAGGGTATTTACAAAGCTATGCATCAATCACTGCTATCTAATTCTATAACATTTGCCTCAATCCTATAAAACCTCGTTCCTATCTTTCCTCAGCTTCTAGAAACCACTCATCTATTTTTTTCTCTTAACAGATTTGCTAATTTTGGACATTTCACATAAATGGAATCAGGTAACATGTGGTCTTTTATGTCTGTCTTTTTTTCACTTATGTAATGTTTTTAAGTTTATCTATGTTGTGGCAACATATTCCTTTTTATGACTAAACAACATTCTCTTGTTGTTTAGATATACTGCATTTCACTTATCCATTCATCAGCCATTTACACTTTTTCTAGCTATTGTAAATAATGCTGCTGGGGACATATGCATCTAAGACTTTGTGTGTACATATATTTTCATTTCTCTTTAGTTTATGCCAAGAATGGATCTCCTGGGTTACATGGTAGCTATGCTTAGGTTTTAAAGATCTGCCAAACTGCCTTCTGAAGAGCAATGCATCAATTTCCATTCTCACTAGTGAATAGGAGGGTTCCAACTTTTTCACAACCTTGCCAACATATTTCCTTGTCTTTTTGATGACAGCCATTCTACTAGGTGAGAAATGGTGTCTCATTGTGGTTTTCATGTCCATCTCTCTGACTAGTGATGTTGGGCACCTATATTTTCACATGCACAGATGAGGGTTTTCATTCCTTTATGTAACAGTCAGAAAATAGCTTCCTGTAAAGTATCTGTCAGAGGGAAAACTATTTTTTGTATTTAAGGTTTTCAAAATATTTAAACTGTGATTCAATAATCAGTTAAAGTCTTTTAGTTCATCTTTTGAGAAGTGCTGATGTGCTTATTCATAGGGATGATAACAAAGAAATTTAAGAGAGAAAGAACTGCTCTTTTGAATAGTATTCTCGGGAGCTATGGAGACAGATTACAAATCTAGTTATTTTAAGAGTAGGTTGGTTCACATGGTCTTGTTCTAGGAACTGATAAAGTTCTGTCCAGAGCAAGGACTATTTTGCTTCCTTACCCCAATGAACATGGATAAAAACTTTGGAAAATTGGAAATAACCTAGCAACTAACAATGACAACCTCAGTGGTCAGATAATACATGCTGTTTAAGCCACCAGCCCAGTTAGCAGAAGTAAGAATAGAGTTAGACATAACCTGGCAGAGACAAGTCAGTTCTTTAACCTATTCTTTGGGAACAGCTGGAAGTCAGATCCTTTCCTAGTAAGTAGTGTCTACAGGAAAGAATAAGACAGTACAGGAATAATACAAATATTATCTGGCATTCATTGAAAGCTTCCAAGTACAATTAGAAGTGTTGTACATATATTATCTCATTTAATTCTCATAATAAGAATTAAATATATCTAGGGAAAGGAAAAGTATATCCAGAAAAATGTATAATACATTGAGTAAAACGTGTAATTCCAGAAAAACTGCAACCCTATCAACTTGTATTAACTACATTTCTTTAGAAAATGTCAAAGCAAAATATCCCCCATCCCCCATTCTCTGAGTAAATGCTTCTCCTTTGGTTTTCTCAGCATTAAAGTTCTCCAATTTGTTTTAAACCCCCAGTCCCTTGTCTTGAAATAAATATTACACATTACACACATAACCCAGTATTGATCAGAATCTGTCAGTTGTCTAACCTCAAAAGTATATAGCATTTATCTGTTGCAAAGTCAAACTCTAAAGTAACTGTTGGCCTCTAATGTGTTCAACTTGCACACTGATGATAATTATCCTGGTATTATAAGTAGATAAAGCTGAGCTAAGAAATAGGATGCTTATCAATTGACATTTCCCCAACAAACAACTCAAGAAACACAGGTTTTCAATTATTGCTCTGAAGTTCTAAAGAGGAACTGGTGTCAGTGACTATAGTCTGACTGTCTGGCTACTCTCCTGTAGCTCTCTGTCTCTGTTATACATACACATGCATGCATCTGGCACACAGGTTCTACTCTCATTAACTTGAGTCTCCCACAATGTCATGAGTATAGTACTATACAGATTACCAACTGTTTTATTATTTAACATGCACCAAGTGCCACCAATGCAACAGGGACTAGAGTGCTGCATGCATACCCTGATTATTAGTTCTGATCTCTGCCCAGCAGGTACATAATCTAAGTTATTTGAGATCTCCTACACTAAAAAGCGAGTTTCCACTGAAAGGTTCAGAACACCATCACCACCAAGCAGAGTTTGCTAATGACAGAAAAAGTCTGAGTAGCTCGCCAGATGGAAGCGGCTGTCCTTAATCCCCTCAAGCAGGTGATTCAGCTCTTTCACTGAGCCAAGGCTCAGAAAAGGTCAGGGATTTATTTGCAATTTCTGTATCCTTATAATCTCCAGAAATAATCTCTCATTAAATATCTACTAGGCTTGCATTATTCCCCTACTATGAATTGCTGCAGGACCTGTGGCTCCTGGATCCAACATCCACCATCCTGCTGCTAAGCTCTGGACTGGCTTGTCTTACTCCCTTCGTCTCAAGTTCAGCTCTGCCCAGGTCTCGCACAGGGCAGCCCAGCAGTTGTTGTATAATCAATGTTCACAGAGTTTGTACCAAATACTCAGGTTGACCTGCCAAATGAGGAATGTGTCATCCTCTTAACTTTCATTTCCCAACTCGAAGCCTTGTTTAGTTTTGGTCTCTGTTTAGAGAAAAGAGTCAGTGTCACACAAACCCATTTTCTCAAAGTTTTGTGGAGAACATGAGAACACTTGAGAGATGGGCTGACCTTCCATCAAGTAGGATAGTTTAGGACAAAACTAG